ACAAAAGAGGATAGAGGCGCGGTACATGTAATAATATTTACTTAATGATTCTGGTATGTTACTGAATTTACTAAAGTTTGCAGACACACTTCACACATAACTACTCTGTCCACCATAGTTCCAGATTAAGAGAAGTTTTTTTGGTCAGTATTTAGCTCCAGGGGATCAAAGTAAATCAAACTGTAAAGGGAGGAAATGTCTCTCAGACAACCCTCTCTCCCTCCACCCCCCCCTCTTTTTTTTTTGACAAACCCCCTTTTTTTTAAAGTTTGAAGTGTTGTTGCTTCTATGTCTGCAATAATAATCATTCTTTAAAATAGGTGGTTGAAAAGAAAACTAAACCATACATTCAAGTTGATATTGGAGGTGGGCAAACAAAGACTTTTGCTCCTGAAGAAATATCTGCCATGGTTCTCACTAAAATGAAGGAAACCGCTGAGGCTTATTTGGGAAAGAAGGTAAGTTTCTCTAGAACATGTTAAATATTTTTATTATTCGTGTTCTTGGTCGTGTTGTATAAATGCCTTCATTGTTTTTATAATTTGAATCTGAATGCCTTTCATGTATTATCAGTTTTAATTACGTGCATACTTTACTGTAGGCCAAACGAAATGCCAGGGACTTTACCTGGGTATAAAATTACATATATTATGCCCATTTTAAAAATAAACTAGCTTAGAAACTAAAGTGATGATTTGACTAACTTAAATAAGGGTAAAGCCATGTGATAAAAGACAATTACCTTTTGTTATTTTTTTAGGTCACCCATGCAGTTGTTACCGTACCAGCCTATTTCAATGATGCCCAACGCCAGGCAACCAAAGATGCTGGGACTATTGCTGGATTGAATGTTATGAGGATCATCAATGAGCCGTAAGTGTTAAATTCAAAGGCGTGGTATAGTTGCTAAATAGAGAAATTGAAAACTTATCTAACTTATCTGAACTTTTTTTTCTTTTTAATTCTCCTAACAGGACAGCAGCTGCTATCGCTTATGGCCTAGATAAAAGGGAAGGGGAGAAGAACATCCTTGTGTTTGACCTTGGTGGTGGAACCTTCGACGTGTCTCTTCTCACCATTGATAATGGTGTCTTCGAAGTTGTGGCCACGAATGGGGATACTCATCTGGGTGGAGAAGATTTTGACCAGCGTGTCATGGAACACTTCATCAAGCTCTACAAAAAGAAGACTGGCAAAGATGTTAGGAAAGACAACAGAGCTGTGCAGAAACTCCGGCGGGAGGTAGAAAAGGCCAAACGGGCCCTGTCTTCTCAACACCAAGCAAGAATTGAAATTGAGTCCTTCTTTGAAGGAGAAGACTTCTCTGAGACCCTGACTCGGGCCAAATTTGAAGAACTGAACATGGTACGCTCCTTGTTTTTGCTTTGCCGATGAGACCTAGTAAGATTGAGACAATGCATTTGGAAATCTAGACAATAAGTCAGTATAACAGGCATCATAATAGTAATTATTGTCTTTTATTCTAGGACCTGTTCCGCTCTACCATGAAGCCTGTCCAGAAAGTGCTGGAAGATTCTGATTTGAAGAAGTCTGATATTGATGAAATTGTTCTTGTTGGTGGCTCCACTAGAATCCCAAAGATTCAACAACTGGTTAAAGAGTTCTTCAATGGCAAGGAGCCATCCCGTGGCATAAACCCAGATGAGGCTGTAGCTTATGGTGCTGCTGTCCAGGCTGGTGTACTCTCTGGTGATCAAGATACAGGTAGGTTAATGTTGCAAGCATCTTTCACAGTGCTTCAGCAGCTTGATGGGGAGAGTATAATTAGCTGTTGCTTTAGAAAGCAATAGAATATGAGCATCAAGGTCACATACCTAGTAAAGGGTACAGTAAGGTCAAGACCTGGTGCACTTTTAAGATCCTTAGCAACTATATTTACTTAACTGCTTCTAAAATGGTTTTGTATAGAACCTAACCAAATAGAAAAACGGAGAAGATAAAGTTGTATTGGTCATGGGGAGACTGCTTAGTAATTCTGTGATTCTTTAATTAGAAATTAACTCTGTCATTACCTTTGCAGGTGATCTGGTACTGCTTGACGTATGTCCCCTTACGCTTGGTATTGAAACTGTGGGAGGTGTCATGACTAAACTGATTCCAAGGAACACTGTGGTGCCCACCAAGAAGTCACAGATCTTTTCTACAGCCTCTGATAATCAACCAACTGTTACAATCAAGGTTTATGAAGGTAATTGCTTATATTTGTTAATATCATGGTATGTGTGTGAACAACATGACTTCTTGCTTTTAATATACTCTATTGAATTGAAATGACTAGGAAAGAAATATCTGTGTTTTCAGATGGGGGTCCCTAACTAGTGTTGAGTTGGGAATAGTTGGCATTAAAATCTAGTTCTTACCTAGCTTCCTAGCACTACTACCCATTAAAAATAATTTCTGAGCTAGCTCTAAATTATAAGAACAAGAAAAGGGTTCATGTAAAGCCGGTGAAATTCAATTAAAAGTTAGTAGGAACGCCTGGATGGCATGGCTCAGTGGTTCAAGTGTCGTCCTATAAAACAGGATGCCACAGTTCCATTCCCAGTCAGGGCACATGCCCACAACCCAGTGTGGGGCGTGCAGGAGGCAGCTGATCAATGATTATCTTCCATCATTGAAGTTTTCTCTCTCTCCCTCTCCTTCTCTCTCTGATAATATATATATATATATATATGGAGGGAGAGAGAGAGAGAGGGAGGGAGGGAGAGAGAGTTAGTAGGAACTTAATTCACTTAGTCCCATTTGTCACTTATAGACCCATGACACACTTCTGGCTTGATAGGAGTGCCCTTGCCACTGTAGGCTCTGACAGACTGAAATGCAAGGATCTACATGTACTAATGTTGGTCATTAACAACAAGATTTTTATGTGTAACTTCTAGGTGAACGCCCCCTGACAAAAGACAATCATCTCCTGGGAACCTTCGATCTGACTGGAATTCCTCCTGCTCCTCGTGGGGTCCCACAGATTGAAGTCACCTTTGAGATAGACGTGAATGGCATTCTCCGAGTGACAGCTGAAGACAAAGGTACAGGCAACAAAAATAAGATCACAATTACCAATGATCAAAATCGCCTGACACCTGAAGAAATTGAAAGGATGGTCAATGATGCAGAGAAGTTTGCTGAGGAGGACAAAAAGCTCAAGGAGCGCATTGATACTAGAAATGAGTTGGAAAGTTATGCCTATTCTCTAAAGAATCAAATTGGAGATAAAGAAAAGCTGGGAGGTAAACTTTCCTCTGAAGATAAGGAGACCATGGAAAAAGCTGTAGAGGAAAAGATTGAATGGCTGGAAAGTCACCAAGATGCTGACATTGAAGATTTCAAAGCCAAAAAGAAGGAACTGGAAGAAATTGTTCAGCCAATTATCAGCAAACTCTATGGAAGTGCAGGCCCTCCCCCAACTGAGGATGAGGAACCAGCAGACAGGGATGAGTTGTAGACACTACTCTGCTAGTGCTGTAATATTGTAAATACTGGACTCAGGAACTTTCGTTAGGAGAAAATTGAGAGAACTTAAGTCTCAAATGTAATTGGAATCTTCACCTCAGAGTGGAGTTGAAAATGCTATAGCCCAAGTGGCTGTTTACTGCTTTTCATTAGCAGTTGCTCACATGTCTTGGGGTCGGGGGAGAGGAGAAATTGGCTGCCGTAAAAAGTGGATAAGAAGCTGGTTAGGGCGTGTGTTCACCGTGGAAATGTTCTATTTAACAATTGGGTCATGTGCATCTGGTGTAGGAACTTTATTTTCTACCATAAGTGACACCAATAAATGTTTGTTATTTACACTGGTCTAATTTTTGTGATAAGCTTTCTAATTAGGTCAATCATTTATTTTAGGTTTAGATTCTTATGGGGGGTGGGGTTTTGAGGTAACTCTGGGAACTTGCCTAACTTCAATTTAATTCACCCATATCCTCACTTAGGCAAGGGTCATTTCACAATGCCCAAGAGTGGTGTTTTCTGGAACATGTTTGAAATGTCCTATTTCCCCTTATCCTTATGAAACTTAACTTTCTGATGGCTTTTTATTTTTATTTTGGATTTTTATTATTGATACTTTAGGTTGTTTGCATTGTCTTAAGACTTGAAAGAGATCACTGATGTTAACTTTACACTTGAATTCATTATTTTAGCGTGTAAAGGTATATTTTGAACTTCACTGTCAGAATCCCCATCTGAAATTTCTCACTACCAAGGGCTACTGGAGTGGGAGCTAGGATGGTGACCTTGAAACAACATTAAGCTCCACTGCAATTGTGGATCAAAGGCAGTCATTTATGTCATGACAGGTGCAAGATTACTTGGGTTGGCTTCCCGAGGAAAGGAATGGTCATGAATAAGTAGCATGATCAATAAGGGGCAGGCTATTTGGCACTAACATATCCAATAAGACCCAAGGATAACTGTTTTTAGATGGGCAACTGGCCAGAAGGTTAATTTGCTAACTGGCAGAATGGGACCTGATGGCACGACTGTGTTACTCTGAGGCCAGAACCTTGGCTGCAATGCCCAGAAGCATTTGGATAGGCCTGGAGTAATACTTGTTTTCAGGCCAAGTTGAATACAAACAATCACAGCAGTGCTGTGTGCAGTGGGGTTAGTGGGTAGTTGGGAAAGACGGACCAGTCTTTCCTGACCCCAATGGCTCTCACTACCAAATGCCAATAGTCTGCACCTTTCTGAGGAGCAGCTACTGAATACTGAAAACACACTTGAACCTGTAAATGTCCACTTGATTTATACAGTTTATGTTGTACCTAACAATCATGATTTCTTCAACATTTAGCAACCAATCTCACCTAGGTTGTACTGCTGGTAAAACCTTTTATGTAACAGGTTTTTGCACTGGCCTATCCAGTTCATTTCCTCACCTACCAAAGTAGGTAAGAGCAAGAGGGTTATATAGTCAAAATATTTTGGAGTTATAAAACGGCTTAGGTTTCACTTTTCTGAGAGTAACTGACATTTAAAAGTATCAAAAATGGTGGGTTTTATTAGTCAACTACAGTCACAATACAATCATCATAGATTTCCCCTTCGGTATTCATCCCACCAAACACAAAACAGAGCAGTGAGTCAGTCTGACTTTCCTCATGTGAGTCACCAGCTTGGGTCACTCCATCAGCGGAGTCCCCTTTCTCAGCATCACAGTTCAGAGTGACAGGATTTGGATCTTCCTCAGAAGTGCACATCACTGGCCATGGAATGACACACATGCAATGGTCCAATCGTCCCCGGGGTAGAGAAGTATCAAATTTAAGTAAGGTCCAGTGCTGCTTCTCTGCATTAGGAACAAAAAAAAAGGAAATGAACAACAAATACTAATGGTAGTGTTACTGCTTTGATGAAGTCATTCCCTAAAAGTTTGGTTTTCATTCCCTTGGATTTAGATGTGGAGGGACCAAACAGAAACCAACGCACTGTGGTACTTTTAAAAAAATAGTCACATCTATAATAATAAAAGTAATATGCTAATTAGATCAGATAGCCGAATGACCTTCCGGACAAAGCCAGGGCTGCGAGGGCCGAGCCCCTTGCACGAATTCTGTGCATCAGGCTTCTAGTTTGCTTATAAAGACCCATGGCTCTGGCCACATAGCTCAGTTGCTTAGAGCATCATCCTGATATGCCAAAGTTGTGGGTTCCATCCCTGGTCAGGTCACATGTAAGACTCAACCAATGAATGCATAAAGCATAAATAAGGAACAACAAATCAATGTTTCCGTCTCTCTCTCCCCCTTCCTCTCTAAAAATTCAATCGATAAAAATTTTTATAAAGACCCCCAGGGTACACCTACTTACCTGTGTGATATTGGTACATTGTGTCCAGTGCTCCTGTAGGAGTCATCCCTCCGAAGACATACAGGTGTTTCCCCACAGCCACAGCTGAGTGGGCAGCACAGCCTGTGGGAGCTGCCCCAGTGGGACTTAGTTTCTGCCACTTCATGTCACCTGCCAAGAGAAAGAAAGTGGGCACTCCATGCCTGCAATGTGCTTTCAAACTTATCAGACTCCTACAGTTCACAAACCCGTCACAATGTCACTGCCTAGGAGCGCTGAGAGGCAATACACCAAGGTTAGTGTGCATAAAAATTACTTGGGGGGGGGGGGAGTTTGAAATCCGGTTTGGGTCTCCAGGAAGGGGACTTAATCTGTAGTTTCAATGAGCATTCCAGGTGATTCTGATGTAGGTGGTCTTCAGAGCACACTGAGGTCACCTTTGGTGACTATCACCTTTAGGTATCTTGGAGCCCAGAAGTAGGTGAGGTTACATGTGCGTGCATGTTTTACTAGTAAATACTAACAGTTCTTTAGAAAGCAACTTTGCCAAGTACTAGCTAGACACTTTAAATATCTTGCTTGCTTAATGCTCATAAAGGCCCTATGAAATTGCTATTGCTTCTGCCTACCCCCATTCTCACAGATAACAAAACAGGATTAGAGAGGGAAAGAGACTTGTCAGAGACCCCACAGCGAGCACATGGCAGAGCTAGACTTGTGCTCGGGTCAGACTCCAAACCCTGTGTTCTCTATACTGTAACTTTCTGCCTTCCAAACCATTTCTGCATCTTTTCAACAAGCATTTAAATGAGGCTGGGACTCACTGGATTCTGGGGTTAGAGATCCACCTGGTTAGGAAAGTAGGAAAAAGAGCCAGGAAGTAGTTTCTCCGCACAAGAGAGAAAGACTTTCTTTTTAAAAGTAAGTATTTAAACCTCTTTTGACTGCCTGCAAGAAACCTTCTGTGAAGGTATTTTCCACCTGTCAATTCAAGACAGGGGTCCAGAGTTGGAAGGGAGAATCACCCAGTTCTGACAAAATTCTAGTCAATGCAGGAATCCCAGCCAGTGTCACCTGGCCTCAGATGTCACCAAACCAGAGAACCCATTGTTTGGCAAGGTAAATGGATACACTGCACAGCAGTTCTCATGCCTTCTGGCCACTGTTCCAATTCTTGTAGTCTGGACCAACCCAGAACGTGTTCATCTGTTTGTCCATCTATCCTTTTTCTTTTTTTATTCCGTCTATCCTTTACCAGCGGTTGCCAACCGGTGACCCTCAGATAAGCACTCATCACCAGGACACTGAGCTAAGTGCTACAAATACAATGGGGAACAAAAGAGACCAAGTCCCTGTTCTAAGGAGCTCACAGTCTGAAAGAATGACCCAGAAGGAGTCCAGGCTTTCTAGGGCATGTCAGCCCTTCAGACACTTTAAGACTATTCTCATGTTCTCCCTAACTTTTCTCTTCCCCGTGTTTTTAACTAGTTAGCATGACAGTTCTGGTCACCCGCCTCCAGACACACTCTAGAACAGCGGTTCTCAACCTGTGGGTCGCAACCCCTTTGGCGGTCGAACGATCCTTTCACAGGGGTTGCCTAAGACCATCCTGCAGATCAGATATTTACATTACAATTCATAGCAGTAGCAACATTATAGTTATGAAGTAGCAACGAAAATAAATTTATGGTTGGGTCACAACATGAGGAACTGTATTTAAAGGGCCAGAAGGTTGAAAACGACTGCTCTAGAAGTTGTCGATGCCTCTCATGGGCCTGGGGTTAATGGCTAATGCCTGAAAGAAATCCAGTTGGGGAACACAAAGTATAAGGAATTTTACTGAAAGAGCAGGATTGTTGGAAGGATGAGATCATTAATAGCTAGCCACATAGCAAAAGCTCAGATGTGATTGCTTTTATTGTTATTTAGTAGTAGTAGTATTCAGGCCACATTTGACAGACTAGTAAAGATTACCCACATCTAGGGTTAAGGCTATCTTCTATCAAAGCACATTTTATTTAACTTTAAGCAGACAAGCTCCCATGCCCTCCACCCTACTTACTTATATCAATGCAATGAAGATCATCAAAGAATCTGTCCCCTGCCAAGCCTCCATGGATGAAGAGCTTCGTCCCTGCTGCCACCATCACATGACCATGCCGGGGGGATGGAGGTTTTCCAAGTGTCTCTGGCTGTGACCAGGTCAGAGTGTCTAGAAAAGTAAATTCATTGGTATCAGATGACAAAGCTATGAAGCAAGAACACAAGAAATACACCCAGCAAGCAGAGACGCTCCAAGCAGAACATGACCTTGGAGTCATTCACTCTGACCCATCAACCCAATCCAGGCCTCCCTCTCTCCACAGCCGTGCAGTGTCTGCTTGGCTACTTCTAGGGCTGGAGAGTTCACTTCCTGACATGCCTGCCCTTTCTAGTGGGCATTAGGAAATCATTCCCAGGTTTCACTTTAAAAAGACCTCCATCTGGTTGAGTCCAGGTCATGTGGCTTCAAAGTTCATGCTTTCAACCACTAAGATCTACCCTTGTCCCTGCAAATGTAAGCTGCAGAACAGTATTTGTAATTTGATTCCACGTGTGTTTTTAATAATTTCAAAATTAATACATGTTCACATATACTTATATACATGATTTACAAATGCATAGGGAAAGTCTGGAACTGCCAACAGGGTTTAACTCTGTCTGGGGAGTGAAAAAGAAAGGCGAATGGAGGAACTTTTATCTTTTTACTTTATAAACTATACTGTTCCAATTTTTTAAATTGACCATTTATACCTTTTTATTTTTATTTTTATTTTTTTTAAAATATATTTTATTGATTTTTTACAGAGAGGAAGGGAGAGAGATAGAGAGTTAGAAACATCGATGAGAGAGAAACATCGATCAGCTGCCTCCTGCACATCTCCCACTGGGGATATGCCCGCAACCCAGGTACATGCCCTTGACCGGAATCGAACCCGGGACCCTCCAGTCCGCAGGCCGACGCTCTATCCACTGAGCCAAACCGGTTTCGGCCATTTATACCTTTTTAAATGCAAATTTTCTGTGGGAAGAAGATATCAGCTAAGGGTTATACTGAAGAAGTCTAGAAGTGAGACACTTGGCCAGAATGTCATTTTCTTTTCTTTTTTTAAAATATATTTTTATTGATTTCAGAGAGGAAGGGAGAGGGAGAGATAGAAACATCAATGATGAGAGGGAATCATTGATTGGCTGCCTCCTGCACACCCCCTACTGGGGATCGAGCCTGCAACCCAGGCATGTGCCCTTGACTGGAATCGAACCCGGGACCCTTCAGTCCGCAGGCCGACGCTCTATCCACTGAGCCAAACCAGCTAGTGCTTCTTTTTTCTTTTCTTTTTTTAAATTCTCACCCGAGGATATTTTCCATTGATTTCTAGAGAGTGGAAGAGAGGGAAAGACAGAGAGAAATATCAATGTGAGAGAAACACATCAATTGTTGCCTCCTGCACATGCCCCAACCAGGGCTCGGGCCGGAGAGGAGCCTGCAACCAAGTACATGCCCTTGACCGGAATCAAACCCCGGACCCTTTGGTCTGCAGGCTGACGCTCTATCCACTGAGCCAAACTGGCTAGGGCCAGGATGTCATTTTCTTTTTAATACATTTTTATTGATTTCAGAGAGGAAGGGAGAGGGGAAAGAGAGACAGAAACATTAAAGGTGAGAGAATCATTGATCTGCTGCCTCCTGCACAACCCGTACTGGAGGTCAAGCCTGCAACCCGGGCATGTGCCCTTGACTGGAATCGAACCCAGGACCTTTCAGTCCACAGGCTGATGCTCTATCCCCTGAGCCAAATAAGCTAGCGCATGGATGTCATTTTCTAACCTCTGCTTCCCACAACAGGTCAGCTGTGGACCAGGTAAGTGGCAGCCCTGTGTGGCCCACCCGTCCATACTTGCGTCAAACACATGAAGCTTCACATCCTGCACAGGCTGGGTGCCTTTCTCTCCGCCCCCAAAGACATACAGCTGGTTTCCAATGGCTGCCGATGATGTGTGGAATGTTCGTGGGGATGGTCGGGGGGTGGTCACCTCTGGCGTGGTCCAAGTCCTGGTTTCTGGTCCAAAGAGAATGAAGGCACCTAAAATAACCAGACTGAGGGGCCTTTGACCTTGACTTGGGCTCGGCAGTGTCACCTTTCAAACCCCAATCTCCAAGGGGGGCAGTGTAGGTCAAGTCAATGATCTCATGCCACCAAAGTCAAGGATGGGGAAGGGGCAATTCTTAGGATTTTCCCAGATAAATCCAAATCTCCAAGACTGAAAAGCCACAATTACAAGTAAGAATGAGGTCGACTTGTTTTTGGAGGCCTTCAAACATCCTCTTTGAACCCTCTTCCACTCTGCTGACTCCTGCCCTATGCCATTCAGAGGAACCCATCATCTGCCAAGAGTCATTCCCACCAGATTCTAGAAACCAAATGTGCCAAATTTCCCAGGATATATATGTGGCCATTAAAAGAAAGTAGACAAGACAAAAAGAAAAAGAAATAAAGTGTTTTTACGGTTTCAGTGTTTTCACTAATAATTAGTCCCTACTAAATAATAAGTGCTAAATAAGCATTAGTTTTCCATTTTACAGATAAGGGGATTGAACAGAGATAGATGAAGTCATTCATTTAAAGGTGACATGGCTAATAAATGATTGAATTGGGATTCAAATTGTTTCCATAACACTAAGATCTAAGTATTTTCCACTTTTCTGACTTGAGAATAAAATTTTATCACCTGGGTAAGTGTATATAGAAGCTTATTTCTTTTTAGAATGATGTGTGAATTTTATAGAAATTAATGCATTAATTGAGCACCTTCTTTGTGCAGAATTGTTGCCTTGTGCACTCTGCCATCCCCACTAAACTCACTCAACCATGGGAGGTGGACAGAAAGTATCTCCACTTTGCATATGAGGGGACTAAAGTTCCTAAACCCTTTCTTCAGGTCACAGGGCTTGTAGAGTAAGGGTTTGAACTAAGATCTGTCAAGACTCCCACACTCGTTCTACCGTAACACACCAGGAGTTATTTCTTGCCTGGCAAATTCTGTGCCTTTTGTAAAAGTCTTCGTTCAATATACAAAGTGACCCATGACGCATTTGTAATATGTGTGGGACTCAGACATGAACCTGGAGACCAAATGAGTCTCAGCCTATATCCAAAGCCAAACGAAAGTGTCTCTATAGCTACAGAGCTTGGGGAGCTATTGGGTCTTAGGGGGAGTTAGAAGGCCCACAACCTCCAGAGTCAGAAGGCCCTGGGGTGGTGTTGCTGCCAAGTCAAACAGCAGCACAAATAATCACAAGGGAGTTCTAAGCCATTTGACAGACTTGTCTTAGCAACAAAAGCAACTAATGATTCACTTTCATTTTTCACATTTCTTGGGCACCGTGTCAAATTATGCTTTCTAGGAGAGAAAAAGGATCTAGTGGAAAATCTAACTCCTTTGACAGAGGCATTCCAAATTCTCAGTGCACTTTATTTAAACAGATGCCATCATTTAAAATCAAAAGGCCATGGTTCTAGACGGATTTCCATCTGCCAAACTATAACTACATTAACCACAACAACCATTACTGGGCATTAACCTTGTGCCAGATATTGAGTTAATTTAAATCCTTGCCAAACTCAACAAGGTAGTAACTATTAATATCCCAAAGTGACAAAGAAGACCAACTGTTGTGCAAATAAGTCTATTGTTGATAGAGGGACGGGGCAAGAGTTGACTGTCATGTGAAAAAATGTCCAAGTTACTAGTAATTACCAAAATGAGTATTTAAACAATCAGATACAAGATGTTTTTGCCTAATCAAATTAGCAGTGTTTAAAAATGACAAATGCAGTGTCAGTCAGGAGTAAAACAGCACTATTAAACACAGCTGGAGATAAGTTCAAAAAAATCTTTCTAGAGGGCAGTGGGTAGCACATAACAAAAGCCTTAAAGTTCACCATGTTTTGCTTTTTTAAAAATTTTTCATTTCTGGGCCTCAACTCTAAGACAATAATTTGAAATACAGTCAATGTCTTCTGAACAAAGAGGTTCATTGCTCTGTTATTTATAATGGCAAGAACCTGAAAACCTAGATTTTAAAAAACAGGAGAATTATTGTATTGTCATAAAATGGAGTGTTATGCAGCCATTAAAACTGATGTTAACAAAGCACTGTTATTAATAGGACATCACTTATGTAAGTACTTATGAAATTAAAAAGAAAAAAGTACAATAGTATAGTGGTGAAAATAGTATGATCTCAGGCTTATAAAAATGCAGACAAAAGACAGAAAGGAAATACACAGAAATGTTAATAGCCTTAATGTCACAGGATTGTGGATAGTGTTTGTCCACTTACTTACACTTTTCAAATGTTTTACAATGAATATAAATTACTAGAGGCCCAGTGCATGAAATTCGTGCACAGTAGGGTCCCTAGGCTTGGCCGGCGATTAGGGCTGATCTGCGGGGCGACCAGCGGGGTGATTGGGAGCCCCCGCTGGCACCCACCTTAGCCAGCCTGGCACCGTCCACTCGCCAGCCCCGCCCCCCACCATCACTGCTGCCAGTCACCTCCCACAATGTGACCGGTGGGGCGATTGGGGGGTGGCGCCCACCCACTCGCTGGCTGGCCTCGCCCCTGATTGCCCCACCACTGCCGCCGCCAGTCGCCTCCCTCTGCGGGGCGACCAGTGGGGTGATCAGGGGACCCCCCGCTGGCACCCGCCTTGGCTGACCTGGGGCATGTGGGCTGGGGGCAGCTCTTGCGTTGAGCGTCTGCCCATTGGTGGTCAGTGCCTGTCATAGCAACCGGTTGTTCCGCTGTTTGGTCAATTTGCATATTAGGCTTTTATTATATAGGATATGCATAAAGAGAAAACAACACACTATTTTAACTGACAAAAAGACAAGTCCATCTCTCATGGGTGGTTCAGCCACACCTGCTCAGCAGTGATGTTCCTAAATTGCCCCCTCTCTGGTAAAACTGCCAGTGAGACTAGCAGGAACTTTGCACTTTTTGGCCAACAAAATATACTAGGAGGATCTAGGTCAGGCACTGCTGGCATTTTAGACCAGATAATTCGTTATTGTGGGGCACAGTCCTGTGCATTATGGGATATATAGCAGCATCTCCGGTCTCTACCCAGTAGATGCCAGTAGCAAACTGCCCCCCAACCTTCCCAAGCTGGGATAACCAAAAATGTTTCCAGATATAGCCAAATGTCCCCTGAGGAGCACAATCACCACCCTGAACTAGGTAACAGGTTCTAGCCTGGCTCAGACTCCCTAGAGACTTAAGGAAAGCCACTTCCCCTGGACCTGGGGTGCCCCCTGGCATAGCTGTTCTCTGAAGTCTCTTCCAGCTTTGGCTTTTAAGAAGCTGATAACTGAATATATTACTAGGAAAACAAAATGCAATTCTGCTATTTTCAGATTCTGCTAGAAGTTAAAATTCCTGTTTTCTCTGAGGTCAGCAAAGTTCGATGGATAATTCAGTGCAATCCAAATGGGATTTGCTACAGGAAATGAACTGAAATTTTATTTACTTATTTAGGTAAATAAAGTAACCTTTGGCTACTTACCAGGATTCAGAACTTGTAGGCAATTTCGATTTCCTGACTGGTTGGCACCTCCAAACACCCAGATGCTGTTAGGTGTGCAGGAGGGAACGAAGCTGGCATGCTCATACCGGGGCAAGAGGCCCTCCGAGGTGGCCAAGTCCCACTGGTGTGTTTCTAGAAAACATTTCACCCAGTTTCTAGATTGGGGCTGCCAACTGTTTAGATTGCTTGGCAAACTTAGGGGAGGGGAGGGAAGAGAAAACAGTCAAAAGCATAAATGAACAACCATCAGATTACTTAAAGGGAATGTGGTCCAACTCCGAAGAGTTCTGTATTAGACACTTCAGGGACCATCCACAAACCTTTTTCTATGGAAACTGTCCCCATTTTCCCAACCACAGGGGTTGACCCCAGAACCTGTTTGTACTACAACACCTTGACTTTCTAGCCTTAGCTTATTGGGTCAAAGGTAGCCACCTGACCCCAAATAGGCCAATCAGATACTCCCTCCCAAGAGTCCAGAATTCAAACAAATTCCTGGACTTGGGGGGCCATCTTCTACCATGCGTGGACAGGCAGAGAAAGCCAAAGTATGGAGGAGAGGAGAATGAAATATCTGCATAAAGGAGATCTCCCCAAAGAGAGTGAGAAAGAAAGTAGGTGTTTTTTTGTTTTGTTTTGTTTTGTTTTTACAGATCTCCAATTCCTGCTTCCTCTCTCTCCTGAGATGAGGCTGTATTTCCAACCCTTGGATTCCTCTCTTTATTGGTTTAAAAGAGTTTCTGTGACTCACAAATGAATTATTTCTGGCTAAAACAAGTTCACCGAATAATAATACCTAACCCATTAGTTATTTTAGCTAGTAAACCATTTACATAGGACTTTCACAGGCCTATCTTGTTGGATCATTACAACCGTAAGTGAATCTGGATACTGAACAGGATACTGAAACCCAGCTGGTTTAGACAGATTAGCCAGACAAAGTTAGTAAGAGGTGACAACAACCATGTAACTGAACTAGACAGTGAGCTTCTTGAGGGCTAGAAGAGATTTGATTTACCTTTGATTCTGGTGCAGGGTGTAGAAATTCAAATGCCTACTCAGGAGTGGAGGGAATGTGGCAAATTGGAGCCTGAGAGCCCCATCGATAGGTGGCAGTCAGCTCCAAGTAATTGTTGCCATGTAGACACATAGGCCTACAGATGTCAGATCTTCCAAAATTATCAAAAGAAGCCAAACCATTTCAATTTTTATATGCAGACTTCTGCACATTTGGTTGGCAAACAACTCAGATTAAAACAATAACAGCAGCCTAACCGATTTGGCTCAGTGGATAGAGCATTGGCCTGCGGACTCAAGGGTCTCAGGTTTGATTCCGGCCAAGGGCATGTACCTTGGTTGCGGGCACATCCCCAGTGGGGAGTGTGCAGGAGGCAGCTGGTTGATGTTTCTCTCTAATCGATGTTTCTAACTCGCTATCTCTCTCCCTTTCTCTCTGTGAAAAATCAGTAAAATATATTTAAAAAAAATAAAAAATAAAATAAAATTAAAAAACACAATAACAGCAACGCTACAAGCACCTAACAAAATATGTATGAGTCACCAGTTTTCTCCTGCCATTGTGTATAGTACATAGTAGTTACCATTTGTTTATCCATCCATCCCTCCATTCAAATACTTATAAAGCACCTACTCTGTGCCAGGTGCTATTGTTAGTGGCTGGGGATACAATGATGAGCAATATAGCCATGTTTCTTGTTTCCAAGGAGCTTATACTCTTGTGGGGAAGACAGATGTGAAACAAACCCACGAGATAAGGAAGATAAGGATGGGAAAGTACAAGATACTATGAAAATATAGAGGGTGTTTGTGACATTGTGATTTATATTCAGAAATATATGTATTTGACCTTCATCACTTCTAGGCACAGAGCTCCTAAAACCCTTGGAACTTCCTAAGTGGTAAGATCAGTAAAGGTGTCTTATGCAACAAGTCCCGGTCAATCACACCTGAGCTTGTTAGGACGGTGACTTTATGAAAAGCCTCTAAGGATGAGACTGGTTGCCAAGGAAAACAACTCTATGATTAGAGGGTTGGAACTTTCAGCCCTTACCCCTGCCCCCATCTCTGGTTGTTACCTGTACTTCTGACTGACTGGTTATATTTCAAAGTTTCCCATGATCCCTTCTCCTTAGGTTTAATTAATTTGCAAGCACTGGGTCACAGGACTCAGAGAAACATGTTGCTTGATCACCAGTTTACTGTAAAAGAATATTTAACTCAGGAACAGCCAGATGGAAGAGATGCATAGGGCAAGGTATACGGGAACGAAGGTGCTGCTTCCACGCCCTCTCTAGGTGCGCCACCCTCCCCACATCTCCATGTGTTCACCACTGTGGATGCTCTCTCTCTCTGAACCCTCTCATTTTGGGGTTTTATGAAAGCTTTATTGCATAGTCATGGCTGATTAGATCATTGGCCACCAGCAATTGATTCAGCCACCAGCTCCTCTCTCCTCCCTAGAGGTGGGGAGAGTATTACTGAAAGTTCCAACCCTCTAATCACCAGGTTAGGTGTCCTGGTGACCAGCCCACATCCTTAAGTACTTTCCCAAAGTCACCGCATTACTATAACAAAAGATGCCTTTATCATTCTCAATACTTCGTAAGTTCCAAGGGTTTGGGGAGCTGTGAGCCAAAACTATGGGCAAAGACTAAATATGTATTTCTTATAAATCACAATATCAGAAATCTGAAAGATGCATAGTAGCCAGGTGATGAGAAAGGGAAGAGCCCTCCAAGCAGAGGGAATAATAATACATGCAAAGGTTTGGAGACCAGAATTCAAGATGTGTTCAAGAATCCAAAGGACACTCAGTGTAGCAAATGGGGATTTGGGAAAGCCATGAAATAAAGTTGGGAGAGGCTTGACATGCAGGAGTGACACAGTCAGATTTGTATTTTAGACAATACTCTCTGGCGAAGTATGGAAAATGCATGGTAGATGGGGCTAAACTTGGAAGCAGGGAGACCAGAGAGGAGGCTGTGGTACTCTAGTTGAGAGATGACAATTCTTAGACTACAGTGGTAGTGGAAATGGACAGACATGGATAAAGAGAGAACTATTTAGGACTTAGTGATTAATTGCATATGTGGATGGAAGAGGAGGTGGAATCATCAATGTCTCCCGGAGAAATAGGTGATAAATGAATGGATGGATGTCCAGGGCTCCATACGGACTCTTTCTTCCAAAACATGATGTACTGGTTGGGTGCTCTGCTGAGACCGTAGGGACCTCTCAGTAATGTTCATTTTCTTAGAGGAAAACCCTGCTGTGTGTGCTGAACTGGTGTTCCCAGGAATGCTCTGGTCCAGGCCAGCACCACAAAGCCCTGCTCTCTGGCTACAGGCACATGCTCTGCCGCTGCTGGTCTTACCCAGGTCCATGGTGTGCACATCGGAGAAGCTCCTGTTTGGATCTGCTCCCCCAGCAATGAAGACCTTCCCTCTCTTGGCATCACCAACGGGGGGTAAATACGAGCAGCTGTGGCCAACCCGAGCACATGGGCTGTCTCCAGCGGGGGTCAGCGTGTACCTGCCAAAGGAGGGATGTATTCAGGAGGCCTGAGCAGAGAATAAGTGCAGCAGTGTGCTCTTCCTATTTCTCATGAAATATTCATAAGAATGAGGGTCTTCTGCAGACACAGAACACTTTAAACTGTGTCCAGCAAAGCAGCATTTCCACTTGCACGTGACCTTTGACTTTCCAATTTTGTTATTACTTTCATCTCACATTAACCTAATGGTGATGCACTGGGGTGGTAACTGTCCCCATCTGGTGGATAAACTGACACCCAGAGACGTCCAGTGGTGTGTCCGAGCACAGGATGGTAGTTCTGAGCTTCGTTTGTGAATTCAGACGGACCTAGTTCAAGTCCAAGTTCAGATGCTTTCTAGATGTGTGATCTTTTGGAAGCCACTTAACCTTTCTGAACCGAAATTTCCTTATTTGTAAAACGAGAGCAATAGTTCTTACCTGTGAAGAGTAAGATGAAGTCTTGTAACAGTGCAGGGAAGGACTCAGTACATGGTGGCTAGAGCTCTATGTGCAATCATCACACAGGAACCTACAGCCCCAGCACTCTTGCCACTAGACAGTGCTGCTTCCTGCTCTCAAGTAATATTCACCAGAGTCTACTGATTTTCAGAGCTGATGGAAGCCAAAGCTAGGACTTTGGAAAGTCAAATACAGGATCCAGTTATTCCACTCTTTAAAGTTATTCTGAATTATGATTGAGAAATCATACTGGTTGGAAAACTTCCTGCCTGGAAAAGACCATCCTGTAGCTATTTTTGAGGCCCTGTCTTATCTGACCTCTTTGGCTCCTTCTTTCTTCTTGTACCTTCTCCTTACCTAGCTACTCCACTCTCCTCCTTTTTGGTTCTCTACCCACTTTTCCGGGGGATCTTTCTGACTCCTTCTCTGACTCCTTTCCCACCAGCCTTCTAACCCTCAGTACCCTTGGATTGTCTTTTCAGCCTGTGCTTGCTTACCTGATCCATTTTACCTGTATGGACGACTTCAGTTACCACCTATCTATATATTCGTCAGTGATTTCCAAAATCTTTATTTCTTTCCCAGATCTCTGGTCTGATGTTCAGATTCACAGATCCCATTACACCTGAGTAATGACTAAAAACGTACCCTGCATGCTGCTAACTTCATTACAACCCCAGTTACACTTCATCTGCACAAAACCCCTTTGAGGACAGTAAGTACTGTTATTATCATCATTTGAGTTTTACAACTGAGGACCCAAGGCTTGGGTAAGGTTAAATAAGTTAGCCATCCAGACACATGGTGAATAAGACAACAAAAGGTCCATGCCTTCACAGCCCTTCAAGACTAGTTGAGAAGAGAAACATTAAACAGACAAGTTCACAAATATCTGTTTCATTTATATTGCACTATAAAGGAGTGCAGGGTAGACAGTATTAGAACATATCCTAGGGGCACCTTACCCTGTAAGGAGGTAGGGGAGGTAGGTAGTCAGGGAAGGCTTCCTGAAGAAGCACCACTTGAACTGAAATCTGATGTATGGGTAGAAGTTAGCTGGACAAAGAGAGGCACGAAAGAGGGAGGGAAAGAGTGATCCAGGTACAGCGACCAGCACATACAGTTGCTGAGTGGGACAGGGCAAGGCATGTTAAGGAACAGAAAGAGGACAAAGGATGAGCACAGGGATTTGAGGTCGGAAAGCCAGGCAGGGGCAGATCATGCAGGGCCCGGTGGGCCATTTTAAGGACTCTGGTTTTGATTCTAAGACCAATGGGAGGCACAAAAGGGTTTTAGACTAGGGAATGCCATGGTCAGATTTATGTTGTGTAGAGGGCAAGAGTGGACACAGGGAAGCCAGACTGAAGACTACCTTGCAAGGTCCTACAGCAGCTCTGCCCCATCCATCTCTACAGCCTTCTATGGTCTCTGCTTCAGCACAGGTCACATTTCATCACCATCACCTGCTTTGTCTGTTAGCCCCCACTACAGTGAGACTATTCACCTTTGTATGTCCAGCACCTACACAGCAGCTGCCCCTGTCAGGCCAGTGTCAGTTATTGAATGAAGGGTTGATTGACATGCAGCCAAGAAACAGGGAAGCCAGTTAAATCCAAAGCCAATTCCCTGAATATCTTAAAAAACGAGTCACAGCTTGGGGGGGAAGACACAGGGTTGAAGCTGAGGATGCCAGATGGCCAGGGCCTTCCTCTTCCTGGTAAGTGGATTTTAATAAAATCAACATCTGCTCTGATAATTATTGCCCCACTACCTTTTCTCTGAAGACCTTCTTGAATGGTTTGAGGCTAATTACCAGAATCTGCCCACAGTTTTATCTCTACCCTTTTCAATAGATGTTTAAATGTGTTAGTAAAACACTTATAAATGAAACAAAAACTTATGTTTTTCTCTGTCTGCATCCTTCCTTACAGACCATGTTGCTTTCCTGGGCTTGTCTCCAGGCTCCAAGACTGGCAGCTGCTTCATGGTGTTCTACATACAAGAAAGAAAGGCACTTTTTAGAAATTTATGATTATCTTCTACCTAAAACACAGAATTAGGTCGCTTCCCTCTTTAAAACCTTTCCTGTTGATGTACCAATTTTGAGGATCTGATGAATTTGAATAAGCATTACCAACCTTTTGATAGCAAGGTATATTTGAGAGGCAAATATAAACACAACTTTCTAAACACAATTACAGGAGTGTTTTGGCTACAGTTTTCAGTGTCTGTAATTTTCACGCAGAAGAGGCATACATCAAAATAAATTTTCAGAGGTCAAGCTTATGTTTATCAAAAGATAAAAACATTTTCAAAGGCTGACAAATACTGAACTCTAAAATAAATCCTAGCCTCATCACCACATTCAAAGTGTTTCTGATCTCAAACTTTTTTCCAGACACTCACTCCAGTTTCTTGCTATATTGAGCTGTTCTTCTAACATGACAAGGCCTTTCATAACTTGCATCTCCTGCTGTTTCCCTTACCTGAAATGTTCCTTCCCTTCCTTTCAACCAGCAAACTCCTAGGTAACCTCCACAACCCGGTTGGAATGAACCCTCTTCCGTAAAATCTTCATTGATTTGCTGCTTTCCACTTACCATCCTCAAATGACTTCCTTCTCCCTCTGAAGGTATCTATTAAACCACCATCATTGCAGGGATCACCGTGAATGTAATTACCAACGAAAACGTCTCTACACTAGATTCTAGTCTAAATTCCAAGAGAGCTGGGCCTGTCGAATTCCTACAGAAAACCTACCTACGGGTCCGGCATGGAGTAGAATTGAAGGATGAGCGAATGAAGAAAGTGGATGAGATTTCTGGGACATGAATGGATAAATCCAACCTTGGCCGTAAGCCACTGCCAGCTGTCCCCAAAGCCCAAAAGCTCAGTGGGATAAACTTCGTGTGGGCGGGGATATCTCCAGTCTCGTCCCCGCGTGGCAATGACAGGGGACAGGAGACAGGGTCGGAGGAGAACAGGCCGGCCCCTTTCCATCCATGTGCCCAGGCCAGACCCGGAGGAGGCCCTCCCCAACCCGGCCCGGGCCCCCTTCCACGCCCCTAAAGGATGAGGCCGCCCCTGCCGCCCCAGGATCGTCCTGTGACCCCCAGCCCAGACCGCATTACCTGCAGCGGCTTAGGTCAGTCCCGAGCTGTGGCTCCGCCCCGAAGTGGGCGGGGCTTAGGCCGTCACTCAGTCCCAGACCCGGAAAAGCGAGGCAGCCAACTGCTCCCCCCTCCCCACTTGCAGGGTCCAGCCCCCAGGGATCGCCCCTAAAGGAGGCGGGGCGGGGTCCTAGGGGCTGGGATGTAGACGATTCATTTCCGGGGCACCAATTAGGGCTCTTCTCGGGGTCTTAACCTGCCTGCGTAGTCAAAAAACCAGGGCTGCTTGGAAAGGACTTACAAGAGAAATGCTGGAGGTTGGGCGTCCACGTGGGTGACCTGATTGTGGGATATCCTAGAGGGGCTGGGATAGTTTCAGTTCCAGCGGCTGTTGGAAATGGTTTCTGGGTGAGATATGAAGATGGAAGCCCAGAGCTGCTTAAGAGAGCCGCCTGTGAATGAAGCCAACACAGGAATTAAGAGGGCCAGGAGATGGAGCGAGCCTGGATCCAGCCATGCCTGAAGCCAAAATTACCTCTTTGAACATTTCATTTATGTGAGCGAAAAGTTTTTTTCTTAAGCTAATTTGACTTAATTTTACTCCTTATAAAATAAAAGACTCCTAATAAATGACCTCTTGGTAGGAAGAAAAAAAGGAAATGGTTTCTGAAAGGGAGAGTTAAGGATGCTTTCCCGAGTGAGAATCTCCCTGCGGAGCCTTTAGGCCAGTTCAAGTTTTACCGCCTTTAACCGGCTGACTCACTCCAGAATTAGCGTGTATAATAACCATGGCGGGCACTATGGAGAACCAAACAAGGTCCTGGCCCCCCCTGGAGTTTACAATCGAACTAGAGAGGGAGAGATTAAACAAAAACAAACAACTAGGTACCTTTGTAAAAAGTGCAAGGAATAGAAAGTCCGTCCACGAAAGTATCTATCCTTGGGTATCTATACTTTTCTCTGGGCCTCGGTGTCGCTCCTGTAGGATGGAGCTAAGATTTCATAATCACAAGGTTATGATGGGGAATACATGAGCTAATGTATTTAAAGGGGTCAGTGCTCAGCCGCTGGTGCAGAGCTGGTCCTCCGTAAAGTGTAATGTTCTTCCTAGCTATAAAGCAACTGTAGACACCAGTCCTGAATGGGAAGTATTCATCTGCCTTATCTCTGGTCTCCATAACCATCAGTTCTCTGTGGCTTTCCTCAAAATGGATAGGTGGCTCACCTATGTCTATGTTTTAGAGAATCTCGAAACCACTTAGGAGGGTTGAGGCCAGTTGTAGCGTAGGAAACAGCCGAGAACAACAACAGGAGCTCCTTAAGTACAGCTATGGTAGCTTAGTGGGAAGAAGAGAGACACACTCGGGTTCAAATCCAGGCTCCAGCACTAACCATCTAACCCTGACATTTGGCAAGTTCATTACCCGCTCTGAGCCCTAGTTCCCTCATCTCTACAACGAGGAATAGTAATACCTACCTCCCAGAGGGAGCAGCTGTGAGGATTCGATAGTACAGGTGAAGAACCAACTTGGTAAATCTTCTAGCTAGCTACTTGAAACCATTATGAAAATTTATTGACAAAATGGAATGTGAGGTCTGAGCTCTCCTCACTGTTCAAACACCCTATTTCAAACATCTGGAGTCTTTGTGACTGCCCATATTAATGGGAAAATCTCCACTGACTGTCTGCCTAAGAGGAGTTTAGGAATAGTCAGTCATTCTGATTTCCTTCAGCAAAGAAAACCAAGGCCAGGTTGGCTCTGCCTTATGCCCATGTGCATCTACATGGAGATTTTTGCTCAGAGCTGCAGAATGCTTTGACATCCCTATGTCTTTTGGCTAGATCCATTTCAAGGTGACATGGTGGAGTTGTGCACAAACAAAAATTGGAAGAGGTTTGTGGGCAAAAGAGCAACTAGTTTTAATTGTGGAACCTATGCTTTTAGACTAGAAATCACATTTCAGAAAGAGCTGGAAGGAACTTTTGAGATCTATTTTTTATAATGGAAATCAAGGCCCAGAGAAATTAAAATGACTAACTCACGTATATGGCAGAACCAGGGGCCTACATCTCCTGCTTTGTGCAAGGAAGATTAATACCATATTCCAGTTAGCAAGCTCTGCACACCGGCTCTGTAAAAAACTATTACCTCTTCTAAGACCTTGCCCACATTCAGGGATGCTTCCCTCTCTCTGCTCTGGATTTCAACAGTGAGGTTCACTGAATAAGGTGGGTCTGCAGAATGGAGCATCTTAATGCCAGTTTGGCAATGTGAACAGTACCACCTATTTTCACTAAAATGGTATCACTAAATGGGGATAGCATCTGCTTTCATTACCTACCTGTTCACTAACTTATCAGCAAGGGAACCAATGATGCTGGTGACACCTTCTTTTCAAGCACTTTATTTGTCCTCCGTCCCAATGTTGAGAAGGTATTTTGGGTAAGATTCATTCCCAGTTACTGAGGTTCAGAGATGAAAAGTGAATTGCCAGCTTTCCAAAAAGGACTGTAATTTTTAAAAAAAAGTCAAACAACAGTAGTATCTTTTGCTCACTTGGAAGTTTTTTTCAACAAGAAACAGCATATTTTCCCTATAGTTTTCCTCTCTAAAGTCTTAAATGTTACCTCTTCAGAAAGGCCTTTCTTGTCCACCCAATACTCAGAGATGACACATTGCACCGACTCTGTACATAATATTGTTTTAAGCCCTTTCCATATTAACTCTATTAAATCTCAGTACAAGTTTATAAGGTAAATAGTATTCTTATCTCCATATGAAGTAGACACTGTTATTACAATTTCCATATTGTAACTGAGTAAACTGGTGCACAGAAAGGATAAATAACTGCCAAAATAACATGGTGAGTAAAAGACTTGAACTCTGGCTATCTGATGCTTGAGTTGGTTGGAGCATTTTTAAAAAATTCTTACCGGAGGATATGCTTCTTATTAATTATATTAGGAGAGGAAGGGGGAGAGAGAGACAGAGAGAGAAACATCGATGGGTCGCCTCCCGCACACGCCCCCACCGGGGTTCAAACCGGCAACCCAGGTATGTGTCCTGCCCACAATCGAACCCGCAACCTTTTAGCTCAGGGGATGATGCTCCAACCAACTGAAGCCACCCGGCCAGGGTCAGACTTACCTAATTTTTAATTAGGGATGTTCGGGTGAGAGAATGCTTAAATGGGTCACAGTGAGAAACCAGGGAATGGCTAGGGTTACCTACTTTGTTGTTTTGCCTGGAAAAACCTCGCTGGGTCCCCAGAGGTGAAAGTCTGGAGGAAGAAAACGGGAGGAAAACAGGAGTATCTAGTATCAAAACTACAAATCCCAGCCCGCCCCGCGGCAGACAAGTACAGGTCCCGGCAGGTTTCATGGGCCCGAAGGAACCCCTCCGGGCCAGCTGCCGGAGTTCCGCGGGAGAAGGCGTGGGGCGTGTCCAGGCGGCGGGGAGACCTGGGTCAAGCTCTACGTCGCTGCGCAGCCGTCTCTCACGGGCCGGACGTGACGTAGGGAGAGTTCCGGCTTCGGCCTCTGCCGCTGCCGCCGCTACTTCAGCCCCTGCCACTGCCGCCGCCGCCGTAGGGGCTAGTTCTTTCTAAAATGGCGCCCCTAGACTTGGACAAGTATGTGGAGATAGCGCGGCTGTGCAAGTACCTTCCGGAGAACGACCTGAAGGTGAGCTCGGTCGGGGCGGGAGCGCTGCTGGTCGGGTTCGCCCCTTCCGGCAGTGGGGCGCCCGCCGGCCCGCCCTTCTCGACGCGGGACCCCCGCCGGCCCCTCGTCCTGTCTCGGTGGAGGGCCTGACGCGGTGCTGAGCGACCCGGTCCCTTTTGGCGTCGCGCGGAGGGCGGGGGTGGTCGGAAGAGCCGGAGTCCCCCGAGTGCCGTCCCGGTTCCGTAGCGGGTATCCTGAGGGACATCGCGGCCTCTGCCCCAGGGTCGCCCCTCCTGGCCTTCGGGCCGCCGCAGGGACTAACAGCGGTGCAAAGAAGACTGCCCTCCTCTGACCGCATCCCGGGTCTCCCGGAGTCCGAACCGAGCCCCAGTGGCCGTGCCCTCGGGATGGGGTCATCCCTCCGGAGGGGGTGACAGGAGCGCGGGTGGCCGGCGGGTGGCAGATGCCCGGGCCTTGGGAACGCGCCCCGGTGGGCGAGACGGGAGAGAACGTCAGGGCGCCCCTCCGGTCCCGCCGCTCCTCCCGATTGTTCTTCCGAAGTGTCGGCTTTCTCCTGCCAGTTCCGGGGCGAACCCCGTCCTCCTGGACGCCGTTGAGCTCATTTAAGTGGACAGAGCTGATTTAAGTGGACACTTGAGTAGTCCCTCTATACATTACAAGTTCTTCTCTGTTTTATAAGTTGTTCCCCCCTGAGCCCTTCTTAACTCGGGATTGCATTTTCTTGGTTTCCTCAAAGAGGTGAGTTTTTTGTTGCCGCCGAGTCCAAGTAACAGTAAAGGTGTGTGTGTGGCTAAAGGGATGAATGTAGGTCTTTGGACAAGTCTTGCTATTTTTGTGCGTTTGTTGAAACTAGGGCTTAGGTGCCTGGTTAGTGCTGCTTTCTTTTATTTGCTCAATTAACATTGATTTGTTTGCTGTGTGGTAGGTGGGTAAACTGCCAAGAGTTTTGGACATTGTTTTATTCTTTAAGCTGTGTTTAAAGTAATTTATCTTAGGGAATTTTTTTTTCTCTTAAGGAAGATGTTACTGTTTTTTTTTTTTTCTTTTGCTGTCTCTTTTGGTACAGGAAGTTGATATTTAACGATATGCAAAATGTTGAAAGCCAAAGGTGCTGTGGTGAATGTAACTTGTTTGTACTTATAGGTAAATGATGTGCACTATATTATAGGGGAGTCATTCTTGTGCATTTCCCCCCTAATAGGATAATTTAAAATGAGGACAAAGCCAGTGTTAGTAGAAATGCAGCTTTCATGCTCATCTGAGTCCTTTGTGGCTTCTTTAGGAAACAAAGATACGAACAACATTGGGACCCAGATCATGGAAAACTGACCAGGCATCTTTTGGTAGCATGGTTCATCCCATGAGAGAAGTGGGGTTTTGCATGTCAGTGAATCGAGGTGAAATTTTCTGTTCTTTAGCATATGTAAAGCTGTTTTAAGCTTTGTGTTTATAATTAGTAAAATGTTGCTTATTATAAAAATGTATGTTGATATTAACTTGAAATTGGATATTGAAATGATTTGGATGGTAATCAGTTGGATTTTCTTTGAACCTCTTTGTTTGATAAACAGATTTCCTTCCCACCTCAAGGAAATATTGTTAAACCATTTCATTGCCCCTTGCAACACAAAATGGACTGTATTTGACATGTATGTTTCTTAAGAAACTTTTTTTAAATCTTCTGGGCAACTGTTGGGGAAAATCATGAATTTTTCTTTTAAGCAAAGGCTTTTTTTTTGGTCTTGGAAATGTTTTTGTCAAATTAATTTGCTCCTCTTTGGTATATTTAAAAAAATTTAAATTTGATTTTACTTCTTGGCATGAAGTGCAAACTAAAATTAGGCAGGCCAAGAAAGTATTCCAGGAGCACCTTTTCCGAGACTTTAAAGCCAAAGTAAAAGATTCTGTGAGAAAGGAAAGTAATCATTGGGGCCACTTAATGATCATATGGAAAAGATTTGTTTTGGTTGAAAAGACAGAAATTCACTGTGTTTTCGACTGACTAGAAGTTGGAGGTACTAAATAATATAAATGCATAGGATATTCTAGATCTAATCATGATTTCTCTATACCTAAATTGGAAGTGGTCAAATCACTAGTACTGAATCAAGTTAATATAACTGTTTTGAAGGAATAAGGATAAAATATAAAAGTGAGTAAACAAAGTATAACCTTTCTTGAAAAAGCGGTCATGTGATTCTCATCCACAATAAAGGTTTCAGAGCTGATCATAGAAGATACAGATTCCATATCTGGCTAAGTGGAAGACTGAATGATAAAAAGCAGGTTTATTGAATATTTAAACTTAAGTACTTAGGCTGGTGATAGGTTCTGTAACTTGAAGATTGTCAGATCTCTTAGATCAGCGGTTCTCAACCTGTGGGTCGCGACCCCTTTGGTGGTCGAACGACCCTTTCACAGCGGTCACCTAAGACAATCCTGCAGATCAGATATTTACATTACGATTCATAACAGTAGCAACATTACAGTTATGAAGTAGCAACGAAAATAATTTTATGGTTGGGTCACAACATGAGGAACTGTATTTAAAGAGCCAGAAGTTTGAGAACCACTGTCTTAGATGGTTCTTAAAAGGGACATGTAAGCAAAGAAATTGCATGTTGAGTTGGTGTTCAGTTTTCTTACTGAGGAACTTAAGACAGTTACCATGGTAAGGGTTGGGAGAATGCTAGTGTCTAAGAGATGCAATACAAAGAATTGTGTAATTCCATGGTAAGGGTTGGGAGAATACTAGTGTCTATCTCAGAGATGCAATACAAAGAATTGTGTAATTCCATAGTAACCACTTTTATGAATTAATAGTTGGTATAATCTTTATAGAATTCACTTTTTTGTTTAATCTAAGCCATCCCTGAGTTTTTTGTATAAGGCTACCTGCTCTGCAAAGTTGTACCTCTGTCTGAAATGCCTCCATAAAGCTTCAAAGAATTCTCCCTTGCTTTTTTCCAATATTTGTTGAAGAACATTTCATAAATTCTCATTCAGCCTTCGTCTGATTTTATAGATTGTCATCATATATTGTAGTCTTTATCTTTCCATACATACTTGTCTCTAACCTTATTGCATGTCTTATTGATCATTCTGTTTACTTGAGTTGTTTGGTTTTGCATTGTATCTTTCTTCAGGTAATACAAGGAAAACTGAACATAGTACAGGACTTTGATACACACCATGACTTTATAAGGGACCAGAAGAGTGTTTTTAAGACTGTTTTTGATAATGCCTTACATTTTGTTGGTCATTTTGGACACAGAATCACAGTCTCTTGTGTATTCTGAAAATAGTCTGTAACAGTGCTGTTCAGTAGAAATAAAATGCTCAGAAATATGAGCCACAAAATACATTTTTTTATTTTTTTAAATATTTTTATTGACTGCAGAGAGGAAGGGAGAGGAAGAGATAGAAACATCAATGATGAGAGAGAATCATTGATCGGCTGCCTCCTGCACTCCCCCTACTGGGGATCAGCCCACAACCCGGGCATGTGCCCTTGACTGGAATCAAACCTATTCGCAGGCTGACACTCTATCCACTGAGCCAAACTGGCTAGGGCGCAAAATACATTTTTTTAAAAAGTGAAAAAGAAACAGATGAAATTAATTTTAGTATTATTTAACCTAATTTCAACATGTAATTAATATAAAATTACTAATGTAATATTTTCTTTTTTTTGTACTAAGTCTATGAAATATGGTGTATATTTTACATTTATGACATGTTCCAATTAAGACCAGTCACATTTCAGGTGCTCAATAGCTACATGTGGCTGCAGGTATCTAATGGGATAGTGCACACCTCTAACAACTCCCCAGCCCATTTCCTAGAATTGCAGTGCTGAGAGAGAATCAGAGTTCATCTAATTCTGTACCCTTCTCATTTTACTGAGAGGGTACTCAGCTCTGTAGCGTTTATGCTTTGTCTGAGGCTGTCCAACTAAGCTATGAATTAGGTGGGAAAGCCTCCTGTGCAGAGCTCTTTCTGATACAGTTAATAGCCTTTTTAAGATGACAAATAGCTTGCTTTTCTAGATATGTCTTCCACTTCATCACCTCTTTTTTTCTTAATCTTCCATTCTAAGCATATTGGACTGCTGTCTTCTGACAACATGCTCTGTAATTCCTTGCCTCTTTGCTTCTTTTCAGTCGGTTTTTATCACCTATTTAATATGTACATAACACATATATTACATTATTTAATACTCTGTGGATTGGGTACTAATATTTGCCTTGTTTTACAAACAGGTAACTAAAGCACAGACACATTAACTTTCCAAAGTCATGCAGCTAGTAAGTAAATGGATGAGCTGGGATTCAAACCTAGGCAAGTCTGACTCCAGGATTCATGTCCGTAACTACCTCTTATGCTTCCTCTATGCAATACCCTTCATGCCTCTTTTGAGCTTTAGCTCAGATGCCACTTTCTCCATGCAGGGTTCCTGGATTCCATAGTCAGAATTATCAGTAATGATTAGAATTTACAGAGCTACTTACAGTCTTCTGAGCACCTTCATGCCCATTCTGTCATTTACACAATCCTTGTGATAGGCAGAGTAGGTACCAAAGCCAGGAATTGATGAGGTTTAGGTGATTTTTACCTCAGTTACTCAGCAGAGTACATGTCTGAATTTAATTGCTAATAAAAATTCCCA